TGGGAACGCCCTCGTTAGCGTCGCGACGTCATGTAGGTATATGCCTGTTAGCGCTGCGGCTCGCGTTTTCTTCGGCACGAAAATAAGTGGAGAGCGGCGGTGACGGTCATTAGTTCGATTGGGACGGAAATGTGTTTTGGAGGGACCGGCTGTGGCTCATCAATCACCTTACGTGTATATACGTGTGGGTTAGGCGAAAAGGCACGTATTACTTATTGGCTGATGGGTTGGCGCACTTTTTGTGTTTATAAGAAGGCGTTAGAGACGTGCTGAAGAAATATTGAATGACATGTAACGACTCGTACTTTTTAGTTGGGTGTGGATGTGTGTTACCCTTAGGTGGGAGGGACTACATTTTTTTAAGGGGTTCATAGTAGGAGCTGATAGGTAATTATTACTTTGATAATTACTTTCAGGCGTAGTTTGTTATTTTTGTTACTCCGGGATACATTTAATCCAACGAATAAGCTAATGATGATTGAAGCCAAACTCCCTGTCTAGTCATGATCGTAACTCAAATGTATTAAGATGCTGAAAATTGTCTCCTCAGAAAAAAGAGATGGTTTTTTTTATTTTTTTTATTCTAAAAGGTATTAATTTTCATTGAAAAATATATCGCCTTTGAAACAAATTATTGCCACTCAATACATACATCAATTTACTGTTTTACAGTTTCTTAATATGTAAAAAAAAAAAAAAAAAAAAAAAGTATTAATTCGAGCAACTGTAACAAAATTTAGTTAAAACGAAAGTGAGAAAGCACTACTTTTTCTCAAAGAATAAGATACCATAATTTCCAAAAGCATGAAATAAATTTAAGGAGATTGCTAATAATCTACTGTTTAAAATTTCAGTCACTCAGTAGAAATGCCAATACTTTTATTTGATAAAATATGTATACAGATATGGATTTTGGAAATTACAGATGATACGTAGAATGAAATATAACTCCATACCTCGTAAAAACTGCCGTACCCAACGCACACCTATCATTCACGCGAGTAGCACTCCTTTTTCGGAAACAAACAAAAGATCCCCAGTGGCAAAGACATTTAGATGTCAGAATAGAAAAAAAAAAAAAAAAAAAAATGAGAGGAAATGTGTCTTCACATCGAACTGTCATACAATACGAGAGTAGGTATACGCGTGCACTCACACAAACCTACACAGCAAATAGAGGTTCATAAGGTAAGGTATATTTGCGCCGGGGAAAACATATCGCGGTCAGCGATGACATCGACGAGCAGGGAAAAAAGGAATCGCTGTCGTCGTCGCATTCATGTATTGACACACGGGACCTGCTTGACTAATGGACCGGCTGTTGTTTCAGTCTCGTGTTACTCCCCCCCGCGGCCCACAGCACTCACCGCCGTACCTTTCCGTTTCCTTTCCTTCCTCATTGCTGGACACCAACATTATATCACATCACCTCCTCGCGATGTATGTAGTTCCGTGGACTATCGTGGACCATGAATTTCTCCACCGTCAGACTTCAAATACTCTACAAATATTGTCAGTCACCTCCTGTATGGGGAAAAAAGCTTTATTCCAACGATTATCGGTGTCCCCTACTCTTTGGAAAAGCTCTTCCCTCCGTCGCGGACAATAAAGCTCACACGGGGGAACTCGCGTCGCAGGGAAAGAGCGATGGCTCCAAAGTTTGGAAGAAACCGCGTAAGCTCCAGCGTTTGGCGGTAGATTACTGCTTTTTTTCTTAACAAGTGCCCACGCACGTATTCATCCCTTTCCCGAGCCATTGTCCGGACGTCAGACCGCGCATCCATAGTCCTTATTGAATCCCGAAGGCTCGAGGGGGTGGAGCGTTTCCGCGAAAGCTCGTGAAAAATGAAGTCGCGTGTCGCGAGGACTAACGTTGGCTGGATTTGGGAATAAAGGGGGGGGGGGGAGATAAAGGAAACGCGGTGTCATCGATAGCTCTCCCTCGTGGCGCGACAGACATACGTATACGGAGCTATAGGCAAGCCATTGCACGTGAGGGAAGGCGCCAATGCTGCGCATCGCGCGAGGATCTTCTTCACTTTTTTTGTTCTTGCGTTTCCCAGTTTTTTGGGGATCTTATTGGCAAAGTTATGCATAAAATTTTTATTGCAAACTAGAAAAATCGAAGGACGCAGTTGTTATTTTGTACTTTTTGATGAACATCCGTAAAATTAAATTGAACAACTTTTGATGAAAACTTACAGCCGTGTTGATTACAACCACGGGTGACGATCCTCGTATTTTTATAGCCACGTTCAGAACCTATGAGATAATAAGTACGATGTATAATCAACACTTGCTCTACGAATTATGAGATTATCTTAGTATGAACATTTTAATTGGACTTACTTCAAATAAGATATGAATTTGAAACGGTTGGAAATAAATACAATTTAAGGTTTGTTTGAGAATACCTTCATATTTCCTTGGAACAAGAAACGCCTAGCAATTGTCTATAACAGTCAAAGACTTAAGTAAGACAAGGAGGCCACAGTGTCCTTCTCAAAGTTTACTTCAATGAAAACCTTCTTGAGTTGAATCGAAAATACATCTCAATTTAAATTCTTTGTTAAAATTTCCACCAGCCTCCACGTACCCCATATTCGGGCGCGTTTAAAGCCATCAACTCAAAATGCGCCTCAAGCTGCCGTCGATGATAAAATTTTATCCACCAATTTCGGGGATAATTAATTTTTCACGCACGAATATTCGAGTCCTCGTCAAATTTTATAGTACACGCGCCGCGCGCTAAAAAAGAGAAGAAGGTAAGAGGGGGGCGTTATTATGCTCGGGAGCCCCGAGAACCGACACACATATCTCATAAATATAAATAAAGTCAGGCCGACGCACACACGTGTGTACGTACCTGTAGCTGCGCGCCGGGCAAACTTTCTTGGCGCGTACTACGCCCGATGCATACTTTACCTCGGCCAGAGACGAGGAGCCCGCGCCGCGTATTGAATCCGAAGTGCGCACTTGCGGGCTTTATCTTGAAAATGCATTGCGCGGACCAGATGCACCGAGTTGCGCATAAAAAGTACCGAGTTATATCCCATGTAAAAAAAAAAGAGGCAAGTGGTGGTGGTGCAGGAGAGAGGGGAGAGCAGGATCGATGTTACGGGGAGATATAACGAACAGCTGCTGCGGGCTCGGTCAAATCAGGGCGCTGCATCGTAAGAAATGATTGCAACCGAGGCACATCGGAAAGATTAGATTATGGAAAAAGCTTACTTTTTTTCCACGAGTATCAATAACGACATGGTATGCAGAATTTTACCGTTCGATATTCGCAGCTTGGCAGTGATTGGCGAAGTGAGAGCCAAGACCAAGCGTATACCCGAGTCAAGCAGCCAAGGGCTGCCTCGTAGCGTGTGTACCGACACAAGGATGCGACGAGTATAAGCGCGCTGGTCCTGTCATAATATACGTGTAGAGGAAGCTAGAGGACTATTCTATTACGGACTGACATCCGATACAAACTTGGCTGAGCGATCACGGGGCCTTTGGGCTCTTTATATGTGTGTGCCTTCTTCCTCTGTCATTACACGGTGCGCCTCGCGCGAAGGACCTTATCGTGAGTAAGACCAACTCAGCACAGCGAGAGAGAGAGAGAGAGAGAGAGAGAGAGAGAGAGAGAGAAGGGTATATACCCAAGGTGAGGAGATGTGCTCGGGGATGACTTTACGCTAATATACAACCCTTGGCCATCCCGTCCGCGAGATGGAGGACACTCTATACGTGTATTACGGCTCGTCCACGGAGAGGATGTGTAGTGGGAAGTTGCGAGGCTAGAATAACAGGAGAGGAACTTTATAGCGCGATGTGTCTCTCTACGGCTTCTTGATTTATTACCAAGTTAACCCCTTTGGCCTCCCTTACCTTCCCCCCATCCTCCCTTTTCCTTCGCTTTGTATCGCTCTGCTTCACGCTCGTCTGTCTTTGTTTGCTTCGAAAGCCGTTCGATAGTTGCATATAGAGCGAGAGAGAGAGAGAGAGAGAGTCAAAAGCGGTGCACAGAGTATCTGCCGTGACCAGAAATCCAAGTATAGCCGTGGCCTTTTTTAAGTTGGATTTCTTCAATAACCAATAGTTACATTTATGTATTTCATAACCCTTATTGGATAACAAGTGTAAAAAATTATGGTGAACCAATGTAGTTGGCAAGAAATAATGTCAGCCAAAGCAATCGAGCCTACTTGTGTTTTATTGACGTGTTTCTCTTGAAATTATTGTGTTTTATTGAACTGGTATAAGATCCATAAATAATTACAGACGATCAAAGTCAATCTATTCTCAGTATGCCGTCCATCCCACTTTACAGGACCAATCCTTATATGTATGTAAATGTATGGCGAAAAGCCATGGTGTAGCTGACAAAATCAGCTTGGCGCAATAAAAGAAACATCTTTGGAAAATTATCGAATTTGAAGAATAATTATTGTTGCCAAACAAAATGTGACTCTAAGTCATTGTCGTTGGTGGTAAAACTGAACGTCTTTTTTAACCAAAATTAAAATTTTTTTAACGTGACAACGCTCGTCATTTACATTCAAACACATTTTTCTTATTTTACTACACGTACGTGACAGACAAACTTTCACATACTTTACTTTAAAATATAAGCTCGATTGATCCAGAACACATGGCATGTACAAACGAATAAGGATCTGTGGTATGATAAAATACTTGATAAAGTAGAAATACATATACTATGGTTATATTAGTTTGGAGAAAAGCGTATGGGTTTGAACAAATAAATCTTCAAGCTCGTAGAGTCGTCCAGGATCTAGAGTTACATGATCTAACAGTAACCCGAACCAATCATATAAATTAAACATGTAAGTATGCTTTTATGTCATAAATCCTGCTTTTTGTAAAAGAAAATTTGTCATTTCTTTGGTTTTCAGTCTAAATGAATTTTATAACATGTTTTGTCGTGAAATTCGTGTAATAAGTTTACTGACATCGTGTAACCTAAATATTAAAAATGTGTCACTCACCACTCATCTTCCTTTCGTCTTGTAGCTGCCTCTCCAGACTGTCTTTCACCTGCCTCTCCCTTAGAACATCCATCTGCAGTTCAGCTGTAAGCATAAAACGACAATAAACGTTAATCATCATCAATTATCAACAAATGAACAAAACACGTTCATCACCAATCACTCTACAAAGTAAACCATCCAAATTCAACCATCCACATTCCAATTACAAACTTTGCTGCGTACGTTTACAATACCAGCTCGCAACAGTTTAATCAGCAGCAATCCAAAGATCATTCCGGCTTTTAATCAACCCGAGGATCCGGTCAGCCGTACCAAACCCGTGGATGGAAATTACCAAATTCACACTGCTCGAAGAGAGAGAGAGAGAGAGAGAGAGAGAGAGAGAGCGAACGTTACTCCGACTCTCGCAGAGAAGAGCGAGGTCAGGTTAATTTGGCAATAAGAGTCCTTCTCATCGTCGTCGACCGGTCTGGATCTCCTTCAGCTCGCGCGCTTACGTGCTATACATATACGCTAGGTGCACCCTCGGAATATCGCGCGCTTCGCTGGTTCCGTGATTAAATCCAACGGCGGCGCTCGCATAGTTACTTCGACTAGAATTATATTAAGACGGAAGAGCAAGGGATACGGGGGGTACGCACTTTCTTCGAGTCTCTCTTTCTCTGGGGAGCCTGAATTAGCCATTTCGAGTCTCCGAGGAAGTGGTGTGACGAAAACTACGCCAGGAGCCGTTCTGGAGGGACAAGCGGGTCCGACGGGACTTGGGAACACGAGGATGGGGTACTTACTTTTACGTAGGTGCGCACTTGATTTCCGTAGTCACATATATACCTTTGAGCAACCAGAGACTCATCCTTGCGAATTTAATTTTCGTTTCGATTGTGTTTGCGTTTATAAAGACTCGCACGTTCCAGTGATTGGAGGGATTTCACGGATTCATTTCAAAGTTCCTCTCGACTGACACGCCAGAATCCAGGTGAAGTAAGTCGGTGTAAAACCCGGTTATTTTACAGCAGCGGGTGGTTGTCCCGCTCTCGAGTTCCACTGTTGTGAAAGTGGCCCTCCTCTTTCTCGGGCAAAATAAAGAACCGTGTGCGGGGTTGGGGGAGTAACACGATAACTCCGGCGGAAGGAGAGAACTCACTCGTGGCAGTCCAAATCAGACCGAGGGCTAATTCGTTCGTCGCTGGTGGCTTGCCGGCACGGGGAAAGAAAAAAAACCGAGGGCGCACCCTCGCCCCCATGTTTTTTCTCCCCCAACGCCCTGGAGTAGCTCGGCTCCCCCCTCCTTTTAGTTTCTTTTTTTTTCACCCCCTCCCTGCTAGAGTTGCTCGAATCCGAGACGGGAGGACTAAACGAGCCGTGTCGACGAAGATTCCAACTTATTCTCGCGCTCAGCCCCCACGGCTGACTCTCAAACTCCCAAGCAAACAGTCCATAAGCTGAAGCGAGCCCTTTTTTTCGTCGGCTTTGTCATTGCCCTCGACTTGTCGACGGGACGGATTCGTTGGCCAACTACGCGCAAACGCTGTGTGTTAATCGATCTATGAATGAGGTCCCTACAATCAGCAAACTCAGCATATAGCTCACTATTCCTATAAGTGACGACAATATACGGTAATGTGGACTTACTTATGTGACTACACATCTGTCACGCTGACGTCAGGAGATGACGGATAGTCCATTTTTCGCTTAAACACTAGTACGCCGTCTATGCTGAGTTTGCGGACCGTATAGGGACCTCATACGAACGAAATTTCTCATTACGAAACTTGAAATTCATCGCGAGGATACGCTCCCTACACCGATACTATATTCTTATCCAGTCTTCTGGCGGCCGAGTCTATGTGTATACCTGCCAAGTTATGAGCTGGCGTGCGTTCAACAATGGTTGTATGGGTACACACATAGGCAGACAGACGGAGGCGCTTAACTCTTCATCGGCCCCGCGAATATTCAATTTGAATGTTAACCAGAGTAGGAAGTTGGCGGCTGCAGCCGAGCGTGTATATATACACCCCGTTATTGCCAATTTCGCGACCTCCTCCGCCCTTCAGTCGTAATATAGCAGCCACTTTGCCGATCGTTTAGATTATCGTCCCTCCTACCTTCCTTTTCCGTCTGTCTTTCATCCAAGCGAGCCTAATTGAACTTTATTACCCGCCGATGGGACATCAGCGCGACTCTTGCTTTCCGTCTCTGGATTTGGGGAAATTATCGCGTGTCGGGCTGCGATTTTCGAGTTTGTTGGTCCAACGCGGCTCGTTGGCGTGCGCGGGCCGTATGAGGCTCGGACGGAGCGGGGGGCACTTGACGAGTTTCATTAAGCCACTTTTTATCGGGGCTCTCGGCATCGTTTCCAATTTAATTCCCATGCAAATTTTCCGGGAGTCGATGATACACGCGCGCGTTGTGCGCTTCTAGAGGGAAAATTGGCGCGCGCGATCGATGAATATTTTAATCGAATCGGCGGAATTGCGTTCAATTGGAGGACTAATTATCACGGATGATGCCACCGAGGATGGATGGTCTAGGAAATTCACGGTGTTTTTCATGAGTTTGGATGAGCTATTTGTACCAGTGATGGTTATCGGGAACGTGCGCGTGAGTGATTTCACATGGGCGTGGGCGTTTGTTGGTTTTTTTTTGTGCTTTAATGGAGGAAAAAAAGTAGCTTAACTCATACAAAGGCCTATTCGTTTTTGCATGTAAGTCCATACGTGCTGTCTCACAATACTGGTGCCTCGTGAATTTATTAACATCCCTTGGAATTGATTATGTTAACATTTTCCGCTACGGACTATTTTGTCAGCACTATGGGAACAAACAATTATTAAACTTTTTAGTGTGCAGTCTTAAAGTCACTAAAAATTATGTTACTAAAAGTTATCTAGACTTTAAAAATGCGTATGGCTTAAAGTCGTTAATAAAGACTAAAAAAGTCGTTCAAAGTCTTTCAAAGACTTTAAAAGTCTAGAAAATACTTCGGACCCTTCATCGAGTCTTCAAGAGTGCACAGCCTCTTGGTACACGCAGTAGTTAAATGATGTATTATTAAAAGTCTTGGCGTTTCTTGCATCATACTAATTTGAAGGTACGTAGATTTCTGAGTTCTGTGGAAATGTTTCTCTCGCACTTTAAAATTTGTATCCCAGACATATACATCGCTTGGAAAAAATATGGTAATAAATAATGAGCGTACAAAAATAAGTTGAATGTAACCCGCGGGTTCTCTGCTCTGTAGGTTCTTTCCATTACTGGAGACCCATACATTACAATCACGATGAGCAATCCCACCGCATAACTCACCAAACTTTATGAAGCACAACATTTCGACGAGGCTACGGGTAAAACAAAAGTCTCGCTCCCTCATCAAACTGCGCGAGTACAATTGCAACCTCATCGAACATCGCGACCACAACAGCTGGAAGAAAAAAACGAAGAAGAGGAGGCGCGCGCGCGCTTCTAAAAATGATTTACACTCCTCGCGCGGAGGCGAAAGCGCACTCCCCGCGTACCGGCATACACGGAGAAAGCCCGTTTATTTTGCATAATTTAATTAGAGAAATTCTCAACGAGCTGAGGCGCCACTGCCGAAAGATTTATCTCGTCAAGCTTCGGGGGGGGGGGAGAGAGAAATATTCCCCCGCCGCGCGAGGAAAACGACTTTGTCGCGGAAACAGAGAACCGCGTGTACTGCGGTACTGAGTGGAAATCAATTATGCCAGTGCTCTAGCACAAAAGACACGCAGGAAAGAGAATATTGAAATTAGTCAAGGGGAAGGGGGCGGGGGGGCATTAAATTTTCAGGGATTAATACAACAGCGGCTGGCCAGGTGAGTTGTTGCCCTGTGCTTCTTATTTCATGTCTTGGATCCCGAGCAGGGATTAACGTGTTGAGAGTACAAAAGTTTTTTTTCTCATTACCTACGCCTTGGTCGTTATATATATTTGATGGAACCGGAAGTACTCGGGAGACCTCGGAAGATTGCGGAAAATAATGAGCTGTGGATACCTCATTCGGATTAGAAATGGGTGTATTCGTTAGTGTTAGAAGTTGCACCTCTTAGCTTTGAGTAAGAATATGCCATTTCAATGTAATTAAAAGTGTTCCTCTCAACCGGTACAAGCGTATTAAAAATATAACAGGAAGATTTATAATCTCTAATGGTAGTGTATTTCCTTTTCGCATTACTGGAGGTTGGAAGCATCTTGACACATTCCTTTCGAATTTCAATTAGCTGCAAGCTGCCCAAGAGCGTCGCGGCTCATGAGGCACGTGCTTCTGATTTAAGGTCACGATTATACCCGGCAATACCGTCACGCATCATGAATCACAACGGAATTATTTCTTCGCAGGAGGGGGAGGCTGAAAATTTCATCCGAACCAGAATAAAAGAGGAGCACGTTGGTTCTTTATTGAGATTAGAATATCAAATGAGACTATAATCTGTATGACGGCGAACCGTGGTATGTGCAAAGTTTATGGAGCAGAGTAGAGGTAATGGAAATGAAAGTCGTGGTCAATTAGTCTCGATGATTTAATCCTGTGCGAGCATATTTGTTGCTCTTTTTATATTATGTATAGACGAGTTGTAAGTGGAGTTGAAAAGGAGATAAACTGTTTTGAAAATATTTCTATGTCGATCAATAGTCAAAAAACGAATAAGTAAATAAATTTTTGTTTCATTTTTTTCACAGTAGTACAAGAAATTCTGACTCAGAATCGATGACTTTCAGACAAATCTCATAAAAAAGCATTAAGATTAACATATGTATGGGTACATACAATACAGTATAAGTATTCAACGATGTAATGCGGTTTTCTTGTTTCCAATGATAGAATGACGAATCCAGTGGTTGGCATAAAAAGCCCACCTAGTCTTTTCCTTCATAATCCAAACATCGCATTCGTCACCCTACGTTTACTTTTTTTTATGAAAGCCAAAAAAATCCTCTCTGCATCCGAATCATTCCTTGGTCTTTTTACAATCTTCCAAGACATATTTCACACGATCAACACATTTTTATTCCAGATATTGTAGAGTCAATGGTTTTTTTACATAACATCATCACTCGAAAAACATATTCTTTCACATGGATATGCAGGATAACAATGATATTCTCCAAAGTATACGATCGAAAGTACTCAAGGCACCACAAAGGCAGCGATAAATCAGCCCCAACTATAAAATAAGAAGACGAACGGACTTTGCATTGAACATAATGCGCATTAGAAGCAGAGCAATCGTAATAAATCGATGTTTATTACTTCAATTAAACATCCGGATCGAGAGGGAGAGCGGCAAAGCATAGGCTGGGAATTAACCGTAGGATTATTTTATAATTTATAACCACGCGGAAATTGCCTCGGCCATTCTCTCATCTCTTGTTGCTTACTCGCGTTCTTCTTTGCCCGTGTCCTTCTCTTGTTTGCATCCTCGCCACAATAGCCGACGAGCCAAATCCCCACGCAATAATTATTTCATATAGACCGAGAGAGAGAAAGATAGGGGGGAAGGCGATAAAGGAAGGAGAGGAGGAAGAAGGCGCCTTACGTAGCAAGTCTAAGGTCTGATTCTCATAACAGTTAGCCCAACTGTTGTTTTATGAAATGAATCTTTGTTATGCTCAAGTCATGGAACAAAAAAAATATTGAATCTACTGTTCATAGTTTAAGAGTATACTCGGTATGTATGTGCTCAATTGCTGTTTCAAAAGTAAAATTGAACTTTGATAACGTGGGCGATTTTGTTGTTTAAGATTCACGGAAAAACGTACGAGTAATGTTACACTTTGAAAAATATCTAATCATCAATGTTATTGCATTGGCTGAATCTATTTGTATAATCT